AGCAACATTCTTCGGAAAACAACGGGTTCATTAGCAGGAAGGAACTGGAGAAAATTTTAAGGGGAAGTTTACAAAGTCCAATTCCTGGTATGGGATCAAAGGTGTTTGAGAACTTAGATGCTAGTGATCTTGTCAGAATGATGCTTAAACTTGAACTTTGTTATGAGCAAGATCCATCAGATCAAAATTCTCTATTATTGATTCCCTCCATTCTCGAAGAAGGTAGAGGAAAGCCTCAGAGGTGGCAGATAAGCTCGCCAGATTGCCTTTATGCCGGACGCCATCTTGAATGCGATGATTCAAGTCACATGTTTCTAACTCCGGGATTCTTCCCTCGCTTACAGGCAAGAATTTCTCCATCGGGTTCTTTCTTCCTTCATTTTCACCATATGCAATTTATATTTTGATCTTCACTTAAAAAATTTCAAAGCTACGATCGCTAGAATTTTCAGTTTTACTTCCTGACTGCAGGTGCACCTCCACAACAGAATAAAGTCTCTGATGAATCAACACGGTGCAACTTACAGTCTCGAGAAGTACCTCATTTCAATCAGCATTAATGGAATCTACATCAGAGTAGAGCTTGCAGGACAACTCGGTTACTATATTAATATCCTCGCATGCTCCACCAAAAACTTGACAGAAACTTTAAGAGTCATTCAGCAACTTATAATCCCGGCAATTCAAAGTGTTTGCCATGGGATCACAATGACGGAAAATATCATTAGACCTGAATGCGTGCGAAATTTGACACCCCCTAGATACAGAAGAACTCAAGTTGCTTCCTTGCAGCAACTGAAACAAGCACTCCTTTCACTTCCGGCAGACAGCATGTATGACTATCAACACACATGGAGTTCGGTATTGGATTCTGGAAGGCCTATTCTCCAAGAAGGGTTTGATTTTGCGCGAGACCTTTTATCGGATGATGATTTCCGAGAAGTGCTTCATCGCAGGTATCATGACCTACACAATCTTGCTCAGGAGCTGCAAATCCCGCCTGAAAGCAACACTGAAGGGCAAAATCAAGCTGTAACCTTAAGCAATGAAGCTGAAAAAGTCGAACCATCCTTTGGTGGCATTGCAAAAGGGGTTGAAGAAGTTTTACAAAGGCTTAAAATTATTGAACAAGAAATTCGAGACTTGAAACAAGAAATCCAAGGGATGAGATATTACGAACACAGACTCCTACTTGAGCTTCATCGCAAAGTGAATTACATAGCAACCTTCAATTCTCAAGTTGAGGAGAGGAAAGTACCGAACATGTTCTATTTCGTAAAAGCAGAAAACCACTCAAGAAAACTGATCACCACCGTGGTTTCTGGCATGACTGCTCTTCGTCTTCACATGTTATGTGAGTTCCGGGGACAAATGCATGTTGTTGAAGATCAAATGGGCTGTGAAATGATGCAAGTTGATAACATGGCTGTGAAGGCTTTAGCTCCATACATGAAGAAGTTCATGGTGATGGTTACTTTAGCTCTTAAAATAGGAGCTCATCTTGCAGCTGGAATGGGGCAAATGATACCGGATTTGAGTAAGGAAGTGGCTCATTTGGCTGGCTCTTCACTACTCTTTGGTGCAGCGGGGGCAACTGCAGCTGGTGTTGTAGGGGCTGCTGCTATCGGACGTAGAAACAGGTCCACGGAAGGTTCGAGGGGCATTCAACAAGACATGAAAGAAGCACAACAATGGATGGTTGATTTCTTAAGAGAAAGAAGGTGCTCCACGGGGAAGGATATTGCAGAGAAGTTCGGACTGTGGCGAGTACGGTACAGAGACAATGGTCAGATTGCATGGATCTGTAGGAGGCACATGTACGCCAGATCTGCAGAGATAATTGAAGTGCCTATATGAAACAAGAAGAAATCCTTATGCAACAGTAGGAACCTTAGCTTTCAAGTTTCTTTCTTTGGTTTTTCTTGTGTTTGTATTTCAAACCATGAATATGGAATGTATTAAAGCTCTCTAAACCATTTATATTTGGATTGACAGTGAATTTAGCAGAACTACAATGTGTCACTCTGATTTCAAGGAGCTAGAAGTAGCACTGTGATTTCATCAAATTCGAACCTGATTATCTAATATAATTACATTTCTTATGAGTTTTTTCAAATTAATTAAGAAAAAACACGACTATTCTGAATTTGTTGAATTAGGACAAATTTAGGCCGAAAAAGATAAAGTTCTGAATTTGTTGAATTAGGACAAATTTAGGCCGAAAAAGATAAAGACCCGTGATGCTTTATGGCATGGCATGAGCTTTTGCATGTGAAATAGAAGAAAGCTAAATACTGGAGATTTTGCTCCATCAACTTTAGCATTCACCATGTGAACGTGGGACCAAATTATCACTACTACACATGACTAATAGTATGTTGTGCTATAAAGTTCAATTTCACAATCATTGACATTTAAATGAAAAGGACAAAGAAAGAAGGTAACACAGAAAAGTTCATGTAACAGTTAAGATAGCAACAAGCCAACAAGCTTGTGAGAGTACAAAGTTATATTCCCTGTAACCTACAACGACAGAAAAAATACAGAAAGGAGAAGCCACACTGGATACTACATTATTTCACTTCACTGCTATTATCAGTTTTCTGGACTCGAATTCCCTACAGTAAACAAGAGCACATAGTCACACACACAAGGGATCTGTTCGTTGGATGAAGATCGGAACGATTGCATTTTGAATTCACTGAATTGACTTTAACATACGATCCGGCCTTCATCTAACGACCGAGATCCACGACTGTGTGACTGCGAAGAATCCAAGTCCCTTTTTTTAATCTAAAACCTACAGTCACATGCCCATATTCCTTAAACCAAGGAAGCAAAAGCTCAGAAGAAAGCTCTGCTCCCATAATATACACGGGAGTTAGCGTTCTTAGATTGCGGTAGTTTCTGATCGGTGCTTGAATTTCCTGAATTAGTTGGTTCATTTGTAATGTCCATGGGAAGCTTCATTTTCGCTAATGACTCAGTAAATTGCTGCATACTTTTCATGTACATATCAACGATATCCTGCTGCACCATCGTCGGCTCTGGCTCTATGTTGACAGTCACAATAGGCTTAGGGAATAATTCATTCGGATCAACACTTGACGAATCACTCTCACCATCTTTGACATCCGCTTTTTGTACCTCTTTGGTGCCTGAAACTTGTTCATCACCTGGGGACTTCGAAGCTGCAGCAGCATCAGATGATTCTGAGCTTTCAGGTGCAGAAGGAGAAGAAACCCCGTTTGTCGACACACTACTCGGGGGAGAATTAACCTTAGGAGGTTGCACTTGCATAGAGTCACCACTGCATGCTGAGAAGCTTTCCACGAGACGAACACCGGCTTCAGAACTATGATTTTCAGCATCAGAATTGGCCAAGCTATCAGAGCACTGACTCTCCTCACACGAAATGCCAAAATATTCTGACACCATTAAGTGATCTTCATTCGCAATCTTAGGATCTGGAAACTCAATTTTACCCAAATCTCTGGCCAATGACTCAGCTGTTTCCGAGTCCTGCAAAGCAGCGCGAGTGGCCTCCTCACCAGGCATTGCTGATATCGCCATAACATCAGGCGTAGCACCAGTATAAGCAATTGTCAACTGAACAAACCCTGAAGGAGAATGAAATAGATCAGTCGAAGAAAGAGAGAACTCTTTCTCTAGCTTCCCATTCTGAACTAGTACTTCAGACAACGGCACCAAAGCAAAACCAAGCAACTGATCTTCGAGATAATTTTTCACCCTGCTCAGCATCCATAACTCACATTTAAGAGACGAATCAACGTTCCCAACATTGAGACGAAGATTGTCATTAAACACAGGGTTCCTTCCACCTCCATTGATAGTCTTTGTAGAAACAGCACTCTCAGGATTACTTGTCAGACAAATCTTAGCATAAACATCTTGCTTATGGTATATGCAGATGTTCTGAATATCCCTAGCTTGATGTATGTAAACATCAAGCACTCCAACACATTCATCGGCATTTGACATGATAGTTTCCTTTCCATTGACTTCAATCTCCTTAGAAGAAGGACTGTTGCTTTGCACGAAAACATCAGTCTTGTGCTTCTCACCCTCACCCAAAATCGAGCTTCTGAAGGGCGACACAACAGATTGTGGGGAATCCATGATCAAATCAAACCACAGTAATTGGTAACCTAGCAAAGAACAACAGCTACAAAAAATAATATCAATTCACACTAAGTTTAAGATCAAGTTCAAAACAAAGATAAAATACACACAAGTTTCTTATGACATAAATCCAACATCTAGGTGCTACAACCTAACTAGTAAAACACAAAATTCACTAATCAAGAACTAAAAACACAACTTAAATAAACTGCTATAAAACCTAGGTTTAAGAACATCCAAAAATAGAAACAAACATCACTGCATGTAAAGTAACATAGACAGAAAACAAAGAAGAAGAAGAAGAAAGATTGAAATTGAGTTCCTCCAAACCTTTGAGAAGCAAATTCAGAAATGACAATCAAAGTCAACAAAACACAAATGGAACAATCAAAACCTAATAGCCTCACAAAATTGAAACTTTCAAGTAATACATATACCAAAATACCTAGAATTATCCAAGCTTAAAAACTAGCCATAACTATCAAATGGGTAGTACAAAATTTCATCAGATTCCCATAAAGCTACAAACTTTATTGGAAAGCATAAACACAGTAACCTATGTTACACACAACAGATAACCAACACCAACCCACTTTAAATTCCCCTTGAAATCAACAAAAAGCCACTAAAAAACAGAGAACAATTCAGAATAAAACTAGGAATCAATCAATTTTTTTTTGGAAAAAGTAAAGTAAAGATAGTTGATTATACAGAAGATGATGTGGTTTTTACCTATTTGTGGGTTGAAAGTCAAAGATGAATCTTTGTGTTGTGTGGCTCTAAAACAGAATTGGAGGATGACCCAGTGAGTGAACCGAGGTAGTGTTTCAGAAAGAACAAAAAAGTTGTGAACTTGGTTAAAGGGAAAGGATGGAGAAGGTGATTGGTGAGAGAGATAAATTAATGATGTAGGGATTTGTGTGGAAATTGCACATACTATAAAGTGCAACTGTGTGTATTTGGAGTATAGTATAGTATAGGGTCAATAAATGTATATTATAATGTATGGTAGGTACTATGAAGAAAAGTATTTTATACATTAGATAAGAAAACCAACATAGGTTATATTTTGTGGGAAATATCACAATAATGTGATTTGAGAAATAATTACAATTTAAGTTAAATATTTTTAATAAAATGTACATATTTAATGAGACTATTTGATCAAGTCTAGTGTAGGATAGGAGAGTAGGCGGATAAAAAATAATTAAATCGATAATTTAAATTAAATTAAAATAAAATTGATTATTTTTTGTTTGGTTCTAAAAACGAGCGAAGCTAATGAAAATCGATGTGATTTGATTTTATTTGATTTTGATGAACCAAATTAATTGATATAATTATGTTACTGTGCAAGATATTGTTAGTGAGGAAAGAAAGAGAGAAATGAGAAGAATTAATGAGAGAAAATGTATTATTGGAAACTGTTAAAACTAAATTACAAATATGTGTATTTATACAAGTATGTGACTTTCAAACTCTAACTAACTTGGACTTGGGTTACATAACTTTCTAACCAAGTAACTAACTTGAATTATATCTCATCATATCCTCTTATAATCCAAGTTGTCAAACAAAAATTAATCATAGTCAATATGAACTATTCCTAATTTCTTTCTCAAATTCAAAAATATGTTGATCTTCAATCTTTAGTGAAAATGTCGACCAACTATGCTTCGCTTAAGCAATGTCTCACTTCAAGTTCACGTCGATTTACCTTCTCCCTTAAGAAGTGAAATCTAGCTTCAATGTGTTTACTCCTTCCACGAAGAATTGGATTCTTTGCATGATTTATGGCTGATTTGTTATCGATTTCCAGCACCAGAAGTTTCTTCCCTTTGACATTCATCTCTTTCAGCACAGATCTGATCCAAATTACTTGACAAGCAGCATAAGATCCTGATATATATATATTCAGTCTCACGCAGTATAATTCCATCACAAGTTGCTTTCTCAAATACCATGAGATTGGGGCACCAAATGTTATAACAAGATTTGTGTCTATAATATAATCTCGATGTTTTGATGATAACAACACATATATTTGATGAGAAATAATTTTGGTTCTAATAATTTTCTTGAGTGTGCAAATAAGAAATTCTAATTGATTCAAAATTGGTGTCTGAAGAATCAGAAACATGCCAAGCACATCAGAAAGACTATTCACATCCATTTCTAAAGAAACATCAGCAGTCCTGAAGAATGCTGAAAGTTCACCAGAAAGAGGAACATGTGTGTACTTGTCAACAAGTTGTTGCTTCAGAAGTCACAAGTAATCAAGAAGAAAGATTTTTTGATAATTTGTTGCTTCAAGATCAGAAATCAAGAGTTTGCAAGAAACAAGCTTCCAACGCAAAGGTTAGAAGACAAGACTAATTCATCAGAAAAGTTGTTGCTTATAATTCTAAAGATGAAGTCAAGATTCTGAACACATATAGAGAAAGTTTTTACTTCCGAATCAGAAGCCAAGACTTGTTCATCAGAAGAATAGTTGCTCGCATCTCTGAAGACAAAGTCAAGATTCTGAAGACTCGGATAGTTCATGGAATATGCACTTCTATTCAACATCAGAATTATTCCATCAGAAGAAAGGATCAAAGAAAGAAATATCTTATGGACTCATTTCTAATCAACATCACAAAGTTCATCAGAAGACAAGATCAAATGATGATATCCTTTCAAGCCAATTTACTCAAAAGAATTACTATTGTGACTGTTTCGAAAGAAACATTAGTAGTTCTAAGGAATGTTGAATGTTCATCAGAAAGGAAATCAAAAGTGTTCTTAGAAAAGTGTCATCTTAAGATCAGAAATCAAATACGCTTCAAAAGAGAGAGAGGAAGATTTTGAACATAAACCAAGAAGTAGCTGACACAAGCTTTGTGCTTCCAACTCAATCCAAAGATCAGAATTTAAGAGAACGGAAAGAAAGAATTCAACGTCAAAATCAGATGTACTGATATAAGTTTTTGCTTCAGAAATCATACATCAGATATGCAACTCAGAAAAGTTGATTATCAAAAATCAAGGATAAATTCAAGAAGTCAAAGATCAGAAAAGCTTTCTCTCAAAGAAGACATTGCTCATCAGATAAGTTATTGCTTATATATCTGAAGAAAATATTAAACTATCTGAAAGACTCTGACTATACAACAATGAAGCATTTCCTGGATCATTTTCATCATCATATCAGAATCAATCCAACAAGAAGAAAAGAAGACAAAGACAAGATCAAGAGACATATTACAAGATGGATACTTCAAGACAAAAGTAAATCATCAAAAGATAAGGTTTTAAGAAACTTAGCCACGAAGAATATCGTACAGTCAATACATTCAAAATTCCACTACAACTACATGCTTACATATTGTACTATGTTGTCTCCCATGATAAAATTCTATTGTTACTATAGCTGGCAAGTGAAAGCCACGTCTTCGTACTACCAACTATCTTATTCTCAAGGTCTATATAAAGGAACCTCATCAGCATTTGAAAATTAACAAACTATCAATTATTATCAAGCTTGAATCAAATTGCTGAAATACTGTGAAACATCAAGAGAGAAGAATAATCACTATTCATATACATCCACAAATATTCTTATAAAGAAATATCAAGAACACAAGAGTTGTTGCTCATTATTGCGTTAAGATATTAGGGATCAAACACAAAGAGTTATTGCTCATTATTTGTGTTTTATCTTATAGTTCTCAATACAAATAGTTGTTACTCATTATTTGTGTTTTATCTTAGAGTTCTCAATACAAATAGTTGTTTCTCATTATTTGTATTAGAGATTATGTTCTTCATTGTTGTGTTAATCTTCTTTTTAGAAGAAAACATTATAAACACAATTGATTGTAATTGTGTTTAGAATTGATTATTACCTCAAGTGGCTAGGTTGTTAGTTTGAGACTTGAGAGGATTAAGGTGTCTGTTTAGACTCTTAGACGGTTGTCGTTAGTCACCGGTGGGTAGCCCATGCATTTGTAATCTGTTGAGATTAGTGGATTAAGTTTTTGTTGAAGGCAAAGACACCTTGGAGGGTGGTGTAACACCCTTCTAAACCCCACAAAATATTCATAATTATTTAAAATAATATTAGAGTAATACAACAAAAGGGTGTCACGTTTTATTTGTGAAATAATCATACGTGCTAGTCTTACTCCGTAACACGGGTTTTCAAAATTATTCATGTACATATCCATTATCAAGGTTTCACATACTTGCAGCGGAATCATAGTTCAAACAAGTTCATTAAAATACTTCATAGTTCCCTATGATTCATGGTTCACAATTCAACATGATTTAAACTCCATGGAAACAATTTAAATGTCATAACAAAACAAGAACAAAATAGTTTTCAAAACAAAGTGTTCTCATCCCCGATGTTACATATCAGAGCAAGACCTTCTAGACTCAATAGAAATAAAATACACGCTCCAGGCTATTCTTCTAAGCCTTTAGGGATTACTCCTGATTACCTGCACGTTACCCACATAGAGGCAACATTCAAGCAGAAAGTGTGAGTTCATTACAATCATTATATAAGATATAAGTAATAGACATAGAAGAATAAACCAAAAGTATCACAACATAAACTCAGCATTGTTATATTCTAAGTACCTCAACAATCATACAAATTCAACAACACAATACAACATCATCAATTTAAGAACCATGCAATGCCACATAAGATGTATTGCAAGGACATAGACTCATGCATGTGATACCAATTCATTTGATGGACATTGGGCCATCACCCTCCAAAGACCTCAATCATAGGATCGATTCCCACTTGAAATCGGAACAAATCATAGACATCCCAAATCCACTCAATGGGATTGAGACCAAATCACTGGACCAATGTCCTAAATCATCAAAATGGACCAAAGTTGTCCAATGAATGCATGATACACAACAACAATATAAATGACCACAACTAGTCATACACATCATCGTTCATGTATTCACCAACATTATCATATAAACCTCATCATATGTACTCATATAAGCAGAGAATCATCATCATATTATCATATAAAACAGAATCATCATATTAACAACATATCATCATTATGAACCAAGCATTATCATAAGATCGTCATATCATCATCACACTTCATTACCACAAAACATCATAGCGATTCAACACGAGGAAAGTAATTTTATCCTAACTTGGGTACTAGAATTATCCTTCTTATTATTCATTTTACTCCTTATAAATATAGTTCATCGTATTAGATATCCAATGCTTCAAACGACACCTCAAACGGAGTCCAGAAACTCAAGTTACGACCTTTAGAAAAATCTGTCAAAAATTGGATTGCTTGAGTCGACGCATGCCCCCTTTGAGTTGACGCATAGGTATTTTGTCTGCCCTGGGTGGTCGACCCAATGAGTCGATGCATATTGAGTCTTGAATCTGCATGAGTCGATGTGTGACCTCTTTGAGTCGACGCATGCTGTTTTGTGCTAAACTTTTCTTTGATTTTTCTACGATTTCACTACCTTATAGGTCCTAAAACATCATCTAATCATAGGTAATCATCATCTATTATCATCCTATGTTTATACATCAATTATACATCATTTGGGCATCATTATTCATCTATAATCTATCAATTCTCCATCAAACAACATCTAATCACCATCTATGAAACCTAAGGCAAACCCTACCTCCATCTACCACTTAAATCAAATATAATAATCAGATAAACACCCCTTACCTTATTGCTTCGAGTGATTGATTATGTTCTTCGTGCCTCTTACGATGATTCTCTCCAAAGCATTCATGCCCTAGCCTCTCTTCTCCAACTTTCACGATTGATTGTGAGAATAACAACTATCTATTCTCTGTTATCACAAAGGACCCCTAATATCTTCCTCAATTGCCCTCGCTTAGTCAACCTCTATTTACCATCACGTCCACACTCTTCATACTAATTACCAACACACCACTCTAATTAAAATAACCATTTAAATAATTATTTCTATTATTATATTCTCAATAATAATCCAAATAATTACTAAATAATTATTTAACCATTCTAATACTTCTAATCATCATAATTCACATCATGCACAACCTCATATCAGCACATCACACATATAATTATATAAAACATCAATTATTCACAAATACTCCTAATAATTCATTAAGTAAATAATTTCTAAAAATTGGGGT